CTAGAATTTTAAATTGCAGTTAATTTTAATTAATTAAAAGTTGAACAATTACATGCAGCCAGTGGCTACTATCTCAGATGGCACAGTACTATAATGCACCCATACAATGTTGTGGCCTTATTTTCTTTCCTTTTTTTTTTTTTTTGGTGGAACTAGGGATTGAACTCAAGCCCTTGTGCTTGCCAAGCAAGCACTGATTCTACTGAGCCATCTCCCTAGCCCTGTGGCCTTATTTTCAAGGGTTATTTTTCCATTGGGAAAAATCAAGGTATTATAAATACAATAAGGGGGCACAAATGTTGAATAAATTTTTACATATGCATACAGGCAAACGTCCACTTCTCAAATCCAGATCTGGTTCATTTCCAGCACCTCAGAAGGCTGCTTTGAGTTCAAAGCCATCGAATGCCTATAACCCCAGCATTCTGGAAGGATGAGACAGGAGGATTGCAAGTTCCAGCCCCCTAGCACCATAGAGACCATGCCTCAAAAAAAAAAAAAAAAAAATTGAAAAAGGACTAGAAATGAAGCTCAGTGTACAGAGGGCTTGAGTTCAATCAGTATTTTTTACATTATTTATATTAATTTTAGGTGATGGGCCAGGGAAATAGCTCAGTAGAATAAGGGCTTGCCTGGCAAGCACAAGGGCCTGAGTTCAATCCCCGGTTCCACAAAAAAAAAAGAAAAAAAAAAAAAAAAAAAAAAAAAAAAATTAATTTTAGGTGACAATCACTAGAATCCTTAGTCCAGATTATAATAAACCACTTTTATTCAAAAGCACTTGGTTAGGGAGGTAGCTCAGTGGTAGAGTATCTCCCTAGTATTCACAAGGCTCTGGGTTTGATCCCCAGTACCACACACACATTGCTATTGTGTTCCCATTCCAACCCTGATCAATTTTTACGAAGTTCCTCTCTAATTTCTGTGATCATGGCAGTTTTTCTTTCAAGTGGCTAGATGCTTTCAATGGCTTTTAAACTTAATTTGAGGACTGGTTTGCTAGTGTTGCCAAGAGAAAAATGCATCTAATTTGCCAAAACTAAATTAACTCCTAATACACAAGAGAATAAGCCTAAGTCATAAACAGTTGATAAAAATATAAACACTTTTATTCTCCTTGTTCCATGTGGACTTAAATTTCATTATTAAATTTACATTCACAAGTGCAAACAAAGCAGACCCAATTAGCACAATTTTTAGAGTCCTATCATCTTACAATTACTTCTTCAACTAAAAGATGATTCAAAGTCTTTCCAACTCCTGGTTCTGAAGGGGGGAAAAAAAAGTCTTTCCAACTAATTTAACCTAACAAGTTGCCTTTTTTTTTCTACCCAGCATAGATTGTATTTGTTACAGAGTTTCACTACGCAGTGGAACCAGGGATTGAACTCAGGTCCTTGTGCTTGCCAGACAAGCGCTTATTCTACTGAGCTACCTCCCCAGCCCCACAGCTTGGACTCATAGTGATCCTCCTGTCTGCAATCTCCACAGCGCTGGGATTGCAGGCATGCACCACATGTCCAGTTTCATTGGCCGGCTCAGCATGCCCAAGAGCAGGGCTGGTGCTGCCTGTGGTGCCAGGGATCAAATCTGGTCCCTGTGCTTGCCTAAACAGGCACTTATCCTGCTGAGCTATCTTGCTTACCTTTATTTGTTATATTTTGAGCTAAACACTAATATTGCAAGGTGCTTCTAATGCTAGTTACAGTGGATCTTTAATTTTCAATATAACATTATTGCCTCTAGAGCCCTAAGGGAAACTCTCATCATTGAACATGTATGTGTGGGTTTCAAATGCACATTTCAAATGCAGTCAGCTAATTGGCATCTTACAACTGAAATACCACTGCTTGTTCCATGCCTTGTTTTCTCGAAGTTTCTCTGGCCAATGTCTTTATGTGCAGGTATGTAAGGGAAAGGCATTTGTTAGATCAAACTTGGTGATTCATACCACCTTTCCTCGTGTGTTCATACATGGGCTTGGCATCCCATTAAGAAGACATCTCGGGGCCGGGGTGATGGCTCAGTGGAATAAGCGCTTCCCTGGCAAGCACAAGGGCCTGAGTTCAATCCCCAGTTCCGCAAAAAAAAAAAAAAAAAAAAAAAGAATACATCTCATCCCTGAAAAGATCAAGCCTTCCAGTTCTCCTCGGTCAGAATCCCTGCAGCACACAGCACAGTTCTTCCTATGCAGGTCCCTCTCCTTGAGGAGTCTCCTAGTAGGCGAGGCAGTCATGATGCCACCCGTTTTTCTTTATCTACCATACAACCTCTCCCTGAAAACCAAAGAGGGAAATTGAGATCTGTGTCACCCTCTGGGAGTAACAGCCCAGACAGTCACTGCCTCACTTGACCTTTGGCCATGCTAGCTTTAGTTGTGGGCATTTCGGGGCAGTCATGGGTAGAGAGGTGTATTCCTGACACCCAGTTCAAAGCAGAAGCCCTACAGCAGCTGTTCCCTTGTCCCTACTGTCCTTTGTTCCTTCGCACTAATGGACATTTCTCTGATGGTCCCCTCCTCGCAGCGGATCTTTAGGAAACATTTCTGTGTGGAGTGCAGGGCTCTCTTTTCTAAGCACCTTTCTGCAGACAAGTTTCTGATCAGATTCAAGGCCACATTCTGGGGACCTGGTTTATGTCTCTCAAACAATTACTGCGCCTGACAAACTGCTGTGGGTTCCGAGGCTGCTGCTGTCATACTGCATTTCCTGATCATTTTCCAGGTTCCCCAATACGCATTCAGAGATGTACAAACATGTGCACATGCGGTGCACATACACACTCCCTAATACCCTGTGGTACCTAGGCAAGTTTCTGCCCTCCAGGAAGCTAAGCCTGCATAGCCCCAAAGCACCCAGTGAGTGCCCAAAGGAGGTACACCCAATGCAAAGCTGGGGAGCCCTGACATAAAAGATGGAGGTGGGAAGACATCTCCAAATCTCTACAGGTGCTGGAGAGTGGGTGGCACAGGCTAGTGGCAGTCAAGCCTGAGGGGTGTCAGCAGAGACAGACACATTTAAAACTGCTCAGTACTGGCTCCCAGGGTTGGGTGAGGGAGTAGTGAGCTCCCTGTGGCTGGATAAATTCAAGCCAGGGTCATACAACTCCTGATGGCTGTGCCACAGTGAAGAATTAAACCTCAAGTGAGTCTCTGAATTGGGTCAATGAAAAGAGAACAGATGAAAAAGGGGTGGAGTGGGAAAAAAAGCGAAAAAACAAAACTGTAAGAGATAGGAAGGAAAGCTAGAGGCTGAGGATTATTGCATATATGAGTCCATCCTGTAGTCAGAAACCAGAGCTTCTGAGAGGCCTGGCATCAGAACTCTGCCCTTGGCCTCCAGCACCTACCCCTTTCTGTCCTGGGGCTTTAGGCCCAGCCTTTTCCAGGAAGCACAAGTTCTGGCTGAGCAGTGCCCGCTCCTGTTTGGAAGCTCTGGCCCAGACAAGGGGTTGAATGCTCAGCTCCCCTGCCCCTTTCCCAGGAGGTACCCAGGATCCCTGGCAGCCTTCGGAGGGCCCCCAACCCTGAGGGCAGGAAGGGACAGAAAGGAGGATTAGGTTGGGCCCAGACTGCTGAGTACTGGCAGATGGAACAAAGCAACGCCCTTCCTGAAAGAGAGTACTGCTTGCTGGCCAGGGGTGGCCTGTAGGGGCAGGGCGGGCTGCCCTGGGACCCAGGCAGTGCTCAGGCAGTGCTCAGGCTGTGGCCCTTGGAAGGGATTTTTCTTTAAATCAGTTACTGGTTTGAGAAAGGAGCCTGGCTCAGGCTCTGAGAAGTGTCACAGTCTCAGCCAAAAGACGAACCCTGGAGAGAAAACAGGATGCTGGTGTCTGACCTAGGCCAGTTAGGAAGACCTGATATGTACAGACAGGGTGAGGGAGGAAAGCAGATGGGAAGCAGGAGAAGGGAGGGAGGGTCAGCATGGAATCCTCAGCTGTACCACTCATTTCTCTTTCTTTCCTCTTCCACACCCTTCCTGGCCACTTCCTGGACTACTTGCGTGGATTCAGCCAAGCAGCCCAACCTCCCAAGGCTGGGTAGAGCCCTGTGTCCACTCTTGGTTCCCCATTTCTCTCCTTACCCATGTCCAGGGCTATTATATTAGTGCTTTTCATCCCTCACTCCACGGTGGCCCTCCAGGACCCCTCGCACTACTCTCTCTTTTTTTTTCTTCTTCTTTTTGGGATTGAACTCAGGTCCTTGCGCTTGCCAGGGAAGCACTTACTCTACTGAGCCATCTCCGCGGCCCTGCGCTCCATGTTTTGCCAGCTCTTAAATTTGTGTTAGGGCTTCTCCTGTGCCAGCCACACCAGTTCCGTCCCCGTGGATCCCCTCTGCTCCATCCTCAGCTTCCTAGAGAGCTCAGTGGCTGGTGTTGAGTAGAAAGGAGGCAATTCACTGCTGCACCCCCGGTAGGGACCTGGTCACACACGTGCTCCCAGCGGAAGCAGACGCTTGCTTTCTCCTTCCACTCACTTCCGGTCTTCTCACAGCCCACGAAATTTTACCCCTCCACCCCAGACTAGGAGAACAGAAGTGGCAGACCATCTGCAAACACCTGGCAAAATCACTAGGCCAACAGATAAACACGGAACCACACAAAAGATCCCAAGGGGAGACACGCTTGCTATCCTTGCTCTCCTCCCTCTTCCCTCAGGCCTCCTTATTCTGTCCCCCTACAAAACTCACCCCCTACAAAAGTCACCGAGCCCAGTTCAAATTGATTGTTTTATTGACAGTGTACATACAGACGCGTTTAGAAAAGGACGCGAGCTCTGGAGGATTACTCCGCCCCCGAGCCACGCTTGTGCTGCGCTTGGCCTAGAGAACTGCTCCCAAGGCTTGAGACCCACCCGTGACGCTTTCCTGAAAAATCTAGTAACGAACCCCGCCTAGCCACCCCCCCCAGTCCCTCCCTCCCTCCCTCCCTTCCCCCCTTCCTCCCGCCCGCCCCCCTACCTACACTGTACAGGACACAGATTTCTCCCACAGACCACGCTCTGCTAGGACGACACGCGGAAATCACTATGCTCGCGGAGAGAAGGGTGGGGCGGGGACAGAGCGACTTCTTAGTCCCCATCCTAGGCTACAGGCTTTGTGTGCTCCAGGTCACCAGCCCCGGTGGACAAGAGGCCCCTGGAGCTTTAAACGGCGTCCAGCGCCCCGCGCTTGCTACCTGGGGGCGTGCGCCCCACGGAGCTATAGAAGCAGCTTTTGAGCGTGCGCATCTCAGGCTCCCTCAGGACACGGACAACATTGGCTAGGGACCCAGCTGGGACCCCTCTGCAGAACCGGGGAGCACGGTCCCAGCGTGCTTCCAGTTAAGAGGAAGGGAGGAGAAAACGGATTCCTCTCCTCTCTTGATACAAGCACACCGTCTTCCAAAGGTTGGGAAGGGGTGTTAGCACCAGACCCAGAATGTTACTTTTTTTTTTTTTTTTTAAATAACGAAACAAGAAAATCAGAACACAGAGCTCCAAAGCGCTCCGCGCCTGATTGCGCTCCAGCTGGGCAGAAGTGGGATGGGGGGTGGGGATGGGGGCTTGGCAGAAAGATTTAGTTTCCTGTCTGAAGGGGTAGGGGTACTTCCAATCTAAAGTGTAGCTGGCTTCTGGTATGGCAGGCCAGAAGAGGCGGAGATCCACGCATTCCTTCAAGCCCAGGAGCCACAGTTACCGCCAGACATTTCCAAAGTCTTCCCCTGGCTCCAGGGCACACAGATGAGCACAGGTGAGCCTGCTGCTCTTCGGATTTAGAAGATTTTAATAATCATAAGAATAGAGGGGCATAGACTGCATCTGCCTCAGCCCGTGGTGCTTTGTGTGAGGAGGCTGAAGCAGAACCGTGTGCTTGGGGAAGACGCAGACTTAGCCCATCAAGAAAAAGACGCCCACGGCTGGCGAGGGCTGAGAATTCAGCCCACCTCCTGTTAGGAGGTCTCAGAGGTCACTGTTGGGGAAGGGTGAGGGGATTGAGGGCAGGGGGTGGGGGGCATAAATTCTGCCAGCCCTAAGCTTCTGTTGCCAGGCATGCCAGGTACCCAAAGTGGGGTGAGGCGGCCGGGCTGGGCACACTGCGAATCACCCCGCTGTCTGCCTGTAGTTGCCGTTAATCTCCTGTGTCAAGTTGACCGCCTCCGCACCTAGCGGTAGCCGATCACTGTACTCAGAGCCTGCCTCGAACTCCTCCTGGTTGGCCTTAGACTGCGATTCCGCCAAGGAGCAGGCGGCTAGGCTCTCCTCCCGCTGCAGGTCACCGTGAGGATCCCCCTGCTCCGGGTCCTCGTCGAGCTCTTCCCCCGGGGCCTCTTCGGGCTCCTCGCAGCCCTCTCCACTGCCCGCCTGGTAGCTCTTCTCTGACTCCAAGTAGGAGGCGCGCGGGTCGAAATCCGCAGCGATGCGCTTCTCCATGGGGTCGGGAGCCTGCGGTCTCAAGATCAGACGATAGGGCTTGCCTGGGTGCTTGGCGAGCAGGTGGCAGCAGGCAGCGCCCAGCAGGGGCACGGTGGCCAACACCAGCAGGAACACGCTCACCGTCACGATGACCAGCAGCGAGGGCAGCTCCTTCTTGGTGGCGAACACCACTTGCACGTGACAAGCCTGGCCTGCCAGTGCCAGGCACACAGAGTAGTTTGTGCCAGGCCGCAGGCCACGGAACCAGTACGCGTTGACGCCCTCCTCTACGCGGGACCACTGCACGGCAGCACCGCCCCCAGCCGGACACAGGTAGAGCAGGCGCAGGGGCCTCCGCCGGGACCGCCCAGCTCCCGCAGCTCCACCGGGCCCAGGACCCCAGCGTGCGGCCAGCGGAGTCAGCTGAACCCGCGCCTCGCGCTCCGCCACGTCCAGCGCGATGACGCCCAGCTCGAAGACATGAGGCTTGAGTTCTGAGCTCTGATTGAATGCGTGGTTGGACACGTACCGAGAGGGGTCCCCGTGGCCACAGTGTTGCTCCTCCACTGGGTTCACTGGGATTTGGCCTTCCGCTTCATCTCCATCTTCTTCCTCCTGCTCCTCCTCGGTCGCCTCCAGGATGCTGACTTGAGCATTGCCCTGGCCTTTGGCTTTGCCCTCAGGTTTGGAAGGCAAGACGCTGTTGCCCCGGCCCTTGGCGATAACCTTGCGCTCAGAGGTTGGGGCCTGCCTGTCAGGGTCTCCTCCTATACCAGAAGCATGCTTTGGGGGCCCAGCGGCAGCCACTGCTACACGTACTGACGTGGAGTTGGTGCCCAGCTCATTGTGAGCAAGGCATGTGTAGATGCCCGCCTCCTTGGCACTCAGGAGCGGGACCAATAAAGAGCCATTTGCCAGAGCCAAAAAGCGCGGGGTGGCGGGGGGCGCGGGCCACGCAGGTGCTGGAGTCGGTGTTGGGGCTTCCGTCTGGGTGGGGACTTCCCCATCTCCTTCCTCCTCCCCGTCCTCTGCTCCTTCCAAGTCGTCCTCCTTGCTCTGGACCGGCGCCTCTAAGACCACGGTGCCTCCCGGGATCTGAAGTTGCCATTGCAGGCGGGGAGTGGGGTGCCCTTCAGCAATGCAATGTAACGTGATAGCCAAGCCAGCGCGCAGAGGGGTGCCAGATGCCTCCAGCGGGGGCTCCGAGCTCAGCCGCACGCTGGGGGGCGCACAGGGTAGAGCAGGCAGGCGGTGCACTGGCACCCCTTTCAGCGCGGGAGGAGAGGCGCAAGCGATAGAGTCTGGCTCGGGCAGCGAGACCCGCGTGCTGGCTGCCCACGCTTGTAGCCACAACAGGCCGCAGCCGCAGTGGAAGGGATTGTGGTACAGCTGCAAGTGGGACAGCGCACCGAGCGCGTCAAAGGTACCCGGCTCCAGAGTGCGCAGACGGTTGTTGTTGATGCGCAGCGAGCGCAGGTCCGGCAGCGCGCCGAGTGCGTCGCGGGGCAGGGAGCCCAGGCGGTTGTGGTTCATTTTGAGCAGCTGGAGCGCGCTCAGGTTGCGAAGGTCGCTCCAAGGGAAGTTGGAGATAAGATTGTGGCTCAGGTCGAGGTTCTTTAGCTGACTAAGCACTGCCAGGGCACCCAGCTCCACGGTACGAACCTCACTATGTGCCAGCCACAGCGACGTGACCTGCGTGACGTTGATGAAGGCCCCGCGCCTTAGCACAGTGATCTTGTTGGCGGACAGACTCAGCGTAGTCACGTTGGCCGGCAGTCCTTCGGGCACCTCTCGCAGCTCCTTGTAGGCACAGTCTGCAAACTGGTGCGCGTACTTGTCCACGCAGGCGCAGGGCTCGGGGCACGCCCGGACCGCTCCTAGCAGCACCCAGGCCAACCATGCAGCTCGAAGGGGCACCATCTCCGCTCCTGCAAAGGAGGTGGGGGGACGGTGACTATGGGCGCTTGGTTTAGTTTAGGCTCCAGTAATCCCCTCTGTGCCCCAGAACTTCTCTTGGACATGACTGAAGCGCAATATAAGTCCAGGACTCTATAGATTCTCCCTGTCAGGGCCTCATCTTCCTTTCCCAGAGAGCAGGGCTCACGCTTTTTTCCCTACCGACCCTTCACCCTATAGCTGCCCCTCCATCAGTCCCCCAGTCACTGATCAACAGTGGGCTCTTCACTGACCTCTTTGTGTTTCTAAGTCTTCATTCAACCTCAGTAAGATGGGTATGGATATCCAGGAAGGATGTCTGTCCTCTCTGGAGCCCTTTGTCCCCACCCAGGCACACAACAACACAAGCAGAAACTCTGGCATGGCCAACACCCCCCATATACAGGGCCTGCTGCTGTCTCTGAGGGTTCGCAGTGCGTTTTCCGGACACAGACACACGGCACCCAGGCATCCATATAGCGTACTCTTGCGGCCCCATTGTTCTCAGCACCAAACCCAGCACTCACACCACGCTTTCCAGCACAGCACTGAGCACTTTCCTGCTCATTATGAGAAGTGACCCATGCACAAGAACATGGGAGCAACTTTTCCTGCCCACAGCCCTCCTTTGAGAAGAAAACCAAATCATAGGGGAGATACAGAGGGCTGCCCCATCCCACAGACCCTGCTCCACCCTTGGTCAAGTCACTTGTCCCCAGAAAAGAGCCAGGGATGCTCTAGGAAGAGAAACCGTCTCCCATGCAAGGAGATGTGTTCTGGGGACAGTCACCAAAGCCTTCCCCTGAGGTTTTACAGAGCTCAGGCAGCTCCTGGGGTGAGGAACACGAGGGGCCCCCAGGAGATAGGTGAGGGGACAGCTACCAGCTCATCAAGCTGGAGAAGCTTCAAGATTCTGGTCTCTCTCCAGTGCTCCAGAGTACCCAAGGGACTCCATAAGGCCACACAAACATATTTACATACACTCCCCCCCCTTGGGTTTGGCAGAGCCCCTCCCAATCCCGTCTTTGGGATCCTATGTCTCCTTTATGGTCTTTGCTTCGAGGGAGGGCTCCTCCCTCCCCAGTTCCTCCCCAAAGGCTGGGCGGGGTGCGGAAGGCTGAGCCTGCCCCACCCCACCCCACCCCCACCCCAGTGTGGCACTCACCCAACGCTCGCAGTTGCCCGGTGCGCAGCCTTCAGGCGGCAGCCCCGTCTCCAGACTGGATGACAGCCCACGGGCGCTTTACGCATCTGTTGCTTTGCGGCTGGAAGAACCGGGTGTGGGGGCACAAAAAAAGAGACAGGTAAGTTTGAGGACACCCCTGGCCCCCAAGTCGCACTTCTCTCTTTCCTGGTGTCCAGTCTGTCAGCACCACTTCTCTCCAGCTGCAGGTTACAGTCCTCGCGCGCCCCCGGGCTCCACGGGAACGCGCACAGCCTCTCCCACCTCCTGCCGCGTCTAGGCTTGTTAGAGCCGTAGAGACCCTCCCCGAGAGGAGTTGATCACAAGGGGCGCCTAGGCTGGGCTCTTCCCAGTCCCCCGCACCCCCAAACCCACGGTCCCCTAGACACCCCCGGACATTGTTACTGTCCCTCATCCCACAGTTCTCCCCACATGCTCAAAAGCATTCACACGCGCAGACACATTCCACACAATCGACCCTCACAGGTTGCAATTATCCATCATCCTGAAATAATCGTCGATGTGTCGCGCTCCTGCTAGATTCACATGCATTTTCATAAACACACCTTCGCGGGCACACTCGCCCCGCGTGTTTCTCACCGAAAGCCATTCATGCTCACTCACCCTCGCGCGCCTGTCCCGCCAGCTCCCGGGAGCTTCGCTGCTAATTGAATGCGAGCCACTTTTACACCCCGCAACACGTGAGACAAACCATCTTTGAGGAATTTAGAGACCGACAAGGCGCACAACGGAAGGGAGGCGTGTCCCCTCCTATGAAACACTTTTTGCAAATGCAGCGGGTAGCATAGAAAGACCTCCAGCAGACCGGAGGGGCTGCACGAATCCTGGCTCTTGCGTCCCCTCCCGCACCCCTGCTAGCCGCCTCCTCCCCGAAGCCACGTTCAACACTATGCATAATTGATAGTGTTAGCAGAGCGCCTCGCCCTCTCTGCCATTTTTGCCTGGATCTGAGCAGATATGAGTCCTGCTCCCCCCCACCGCCCCACCACCACCCCAGCCAGACGAAACCGCACACGCAGCCCTGCAGGGCGCTCGGAGAAGAGCCGCCCCTTTCACCAGCCCACCGCAGCCCTGCCTAGCCACAATTCTTCACGTCTGGTCTTTGTGGCAAAGTCAGTGCTTGCAGCCCACCATCCACAGCGCTGTCGCGGGTGGGGTGGGGCTCCCTGCCACCCGAAGCACCTCCACTATCAGGTTCTGCCAGTTCCGGGCGAATGGGGCGCTGAAGCTGCAGGAGACAGGGACAGGGACAGGGACAGTTACAAAACGTCTGCTTGTCTTGAACACGGTGGGCGGGGATGTAAGATTTGAACATTTTCCACACACACACACACACCCACCAGTGTCTTCACAGCCTCGCTAGTGCACACACACACACACACACACACACACTGTCCTCCAAGCTGGGGTGGCATACTGCCGCCCCGCTGTCTCACAACCTCACACAACAGCTGGCCTCAGCAAACTCAGGACTTGCTGTTCCTGCCTCTCCCTATCTGGCAGAACCCCAATACTTCATTTAGCGACAGGGATGCAGAATCATAGAGATGGATGTCCAGGCATTTGACTAAACTCCCTTGGGGCCTTGGTACTGCCCACAGAGATAGACAGAGCCTATGAGAGATAGAGCTGCTGGCCAGAAGCAGAACAGGATTTGGGCTCTTGGAGAACCAGAGTCCCTGCCCCTTGTCCCTTTTGTAGGCATTGGGATCTCCGGGCCCACGGGGTCCACAGCCCACTCCCCAGCAGGCGAAGGTCTCACTTGGCAGTCTCACTGGCAGTCAAAGGCTTGCGCCTTTGGGCCTCTGCAGGGATCAATATCCCGATTTGAATGTTAAGCATTTTAATGAGCCCAGGAGGGAGTGAGGAGAGGAACGGAGTGCAGTGAGCTGCATCTAAAAAGACCACCCGGCTGGCTAGGGCTCTATGGCGCCTTTGTAAATGAAATATGAACAGACCAAGCAGCACACTTGGAGTCTTTCGCTGCGTCCTAATCCTTCGGTGGCCGCAAGATAGCTGGTGAGCTGGGACCAGCGCATCTCAGTCAGCCAAGTTCCTGAACCCAGAACTTCACTGACCTGCTTAAGCGTGGCTCCCTACCAGCCAACCTAAGGTACAGGACCCTGAGGCTACCTCAGAAAGATGTTGTGGAGAAGGACTGAAGTGTGAGAGCACAGGACCATCCCAGCCCCGGGACCTTGCAGCAGTGCCTAATTTAGGTATGAGACCTGAGGTTTGGAACCGGCTGGGCCAGGGCATGGCGAGAAGGACATGTGTGAACACCTTTGTGTGCAAAGTGTGGGATGGGGGCAGCCTGGGTGGAGAGTTCTGTACTGGTAACCTTGAGGCAGTGGGCCTGGGAGAGGGACCCAAGGGGGCAAGTGCCTGGCAGTGCAACGAGGACATTCTGGGGCTCAGGATGGACACAAGGCATGGCGACAGAGAAGCTCCAGGCCAGGCAGGTTTCTCCTGGTTTTTATCTCCATCTGGTTCTTTTTGCTTTCTGCGGGAGGCCAGCGGGCCAAGAGACAGCTTGGAAAGACGAGAAGACAGAGTCTGGGGGCTGGAAGGAGAATGGGCTCTCAACCCAAAGCTCCCCAAACCAAGGGCACCCTCTCTGCCAGCCTTTGGGGGGGCCTCTCTATGCCTCCCCTTTTTTCTCTGTTGCTAGAGATGCCGGAGGAGGAGACAGAGCCTCAGGCGCAGGAGAGAGGTGGATAAGGGCGCAGTGGCCTCGCTTTTGTTCCCCGATCCTGGACAAACACCCCTTACCCCGCCTTTGACCCGCCTTGCCCTGTGCCCATCCGGCGGGGCTGGAGCCCAAGTCACCCCTGTGGGAGTCGCAACCTCAGGTTCTACCTGCGAACTGAGCTGGAAGGCAGCGTACACCCCCTGGAGCAGGAGCCGCTGGGCTGTGGCGGGCGACGTTCACAAGGATACAGTTACTGCTGGCCGGGAACGTGGACCCCACCCCCGCCGCCGCCTGCGCCTCCAATCGTTAAAGAAACAGGCATCTAATCAGTTGTGTGGACGCAGGGGTGGGGAAAGGGGAAATACAAAGTTCCAAGGCATGACAGCACAGGGCCACAGATTCAGAAGGCGGCGAAGGAAGCTTAAGCTTGGGGTCCTAAACCCAGACAGATCCGAGGTCCGATAGCCTGAGCCCAGGGCTGCTCCTCGCGGACTGACTTCCGATTTCAACGTTGCGGATGCACAGGGCCCCGAAGGTGCGAAACGTTGAAATCTGCAGGATGGGATTTGCTGAATCTTAGGCACCGTGCGCGCTCAGATCTCTGGCCCGGCCCTGGTCCGCGCGCGCCCTCTGCTGGAAGCTGCCTTCCGGACTAAGGCGGGTGGGGACCAGGCTGGCTTTCCACCCCGCTGGACGCACTCCAGTGGAGCGCGCTCTAAGTGCCCGCTCAGCCCGCATCTCGGATCCGCAAGATCCTCTCCCCTCCTGTCACAGGGATGCAGTTTCACGCATGTGATATTCCCAGCTCAAAGAGCTCACGAGTTCCCCCTGAAGGCTCTTTAGGAAAAAGCCCTGTCCCACTGACCACACTGTCATGATTACAACAGGTTCTAGTATCAGACTCCATCGTATGTACCAGCTGTGCAACCCCAGCCAAGTTACTCAACCTCTCTGTACATTAAGGGGAAAAAAAGCATAAATTAGAGAACCTATGTTTGGGATCCTTGTGAGGATTCAGTCAGTCACGCTATGCAAAACTCTTGGTGTGTGGCACTTCCTGCTCAGGAATGGAGTTATTTTTTGCAACAACTGCTGAATAGAATTTGCTGGTATTCCAGCTTGCAGAACCAGGGGCAGGACAGAGGAGGTGTGCAGGTTGCATACCCATTCGTGCTTCTGTCTTGTCTCACCTGAGGCGAGGACCTTGGCTCTGTCTTCTCCACACACACTCTTTGCACACAGACATTGGATTGTAGTAGCCAGAATTATTATTAATAAATAATACTAGTTTCCAGGCATGATGGCACGCACGAGTGATCCCAGCCCCTGAGAGGCTGAGGCAGAATAATCTGTGAGTTAAGAGGCCAGCCTCACTCCACAGTGAGTTCAAGGCCAGCCTTGACCATAGTGAGACCCTATTTCAGAATAAAAGCAAAATAATAGTAAGTGTTAATGCTAATTACAGTTATTGTTTGTAATGGTTTGTAGTTTCAGATACTTAAACTTGTCACCCGCGTGCCTGTTTGGGAAGAGGACCTGCAGCTGCAAGCGTGGTGGAAGGTTTTTAATTAAAACCACATTCTGTTTAAGTATTTATTGGTTTCTGTGTGTTTAATTAGTTCCTAGGGAAAAACAAAACAAAAGCTCCACCTCTGAGAAGGAAGACTGTTGATTTCTGAGGGAAGCAGCAACCTGTGGTGGGTTGCTGGAGGTAACCAGGAGGAATCTTCTGAATGATTTTGATGCAGCAAGACATTAATGACCCTGGACAGAGCCCTAGACCTTTCTCCCAGAGCTTCTGTGAAATTAGCTGAATGCCTTGGCAAGGCCATTTATTGCCATCAGAATTAACAACAGTTCTTCCAGTGGCAGCTTGAATAATTGTATGATCTGCTCTTGTCGTGTGGAAGCTGGGGGCCTGGCAGGGAGGACACAGGGTCTTGTGTGCAAGGCCAACACACTCATGGGTGCACTCCTGCCTAGCCGGGCTGGGAGCCCCAGAGGAGAAGTCCTGAGGCTGCCAGTCCTGACCTGGCAGGACTTAGCTTGGAAAAAGTCTGGATAGAGCAGTGTGGGAAGACCAGGGCATGATGCTTCCACCCATGGACAGCACAGAGTAGCAAGCTAGCGAGTGAGCACCTCAGCCACACAGTTCTGCCAACCTGACCTCAGAGCAGAGGATTCAACAGCAGTGACAATGACAGTGGCGGATGCATTTTTCCTCTTCTTCTTCTTCTTCTTCTTCTTCTTCTTCTTCTTCTTCTTCCTCTTCCTCTTCCTCTTCCTCTTCCTCTTCCTCTTCCTCTTCCTCTTCCTCCTCTTCCTCTTCCTCAGTAGTGGATGTTGAACTCAGGGCTTTCATACTGAGCTACATCCACAGCCTTCTTTTTAATAAATTCTCACTAGTTTGCTAAGTTGCCCAGGCTGAACTGGAACTTGTGATCCTCCTGCCTCCGCTTCCTAGATTGTGTGTGCCATTATGCCTGGCTTCTCTATCACCCATTATTTAGGGTGACAACCTAAGACTTATGTCCTTTGATACTGCTGAGGAAATTCAACAGCAGTAGGGGATATGTGCATATCATCAACAGGCTACTGGGCTACAGAAACAGATTCTCTTTCCTGCCACCATAACCTCTCTTGGCTTCTTACTGACACTGGCTTAGGAGACTGAATCTCTGAACCAATCACTGGCTAAGAGGATGGAATCAATTGGCTTAAAATAACCTGGCCCTGAAATGGATATTGAAATTCCATCCCAAGATTTCCTTGCCAGGTCAGGGCTGAAAGGGAAAAGCGAGATCCCTTTCCGACAGCAGGATTGGAGATTGCATGCTCAGAGTGTCCTAGCATTGTGTCAAAAATTAATTAAATCCAGGCATGGTGGTACATGCCTATCGTCCCAGCTGAGGCAGGAAAACTGCCATGAATTTGAGGCCAGCCTAGATTACATAGGGAGATCCCCATCTCAAAAACACAAAAC